TGTTTATTCACTTTGCTTTCAGAGGCAAAGACTACAGAGTGACGAGTGGTAGGGTCAGAGAGATACTGAGGCTACAGGAGCAGCCTGTCAAGATACATGAGGTCTGTTATGGACACCAGGAGCCTCCCAGGCGTCCACATGGAGGGTTGGTGCCTCCTATAGATTTAGTGCGACATTGCTTCAAGGAGCCTTTTGGAGAGGGGTCGAGCAGGAACCCCAGTGACTTGACTCCTACAGCGAGAGTGCTAGAGGCCATTATCAGGAGGACACTGCTTCCCAGGTTGGGATATAGAGAGGTCGACTCACTTCACATGCCTCGGCTTCTTAATGCTCGATGCGTGAGACGATGTTTAATATCTAGGACCTCCTTCTTTCGAGATGGAGGATACTATAGCCGAGGATTCAAGGGTCGTGGCGGCTTCCCTATGCTCACCGGATCACGTTTCTTATTCGCGAGAATAGTGCTTGATAAGCCCCCACAGTATGATGGATGAGTATCAAAGCCACCACAGAATTCCCACTTACAACACGTCACGGAGAGGATTAGACATACCATGCCTCGTGCACCCAGACACCTAGCCATCGTCCCCAACGTGCGAGTCCAGTAGCTTCGGCGGGATGAGATCATCGAGGGGATTGCGCCACCGAGGAGGAGGAGCTAGAGAGCACAGCAGGAGGTGAGCGAGTATAGTGACAACTCGATGATGACTATCTCGCCTATTCCTCGATGCCTCCACGCGACACATGATCGAGGCCGGTAGCTCCATTCTGCTCCACACTGCTCCATGAGCATGCCCCCCTCTCATTGCTATTCTTGGCGGATGCAAGCAGACACAGATAGATGAGAGCATAGAGAGACAGTTTGCTACTTTTGCCCGATTTGAGACTTGACAGGGCGAGTTCCAAAGGCAAAGAAGAGCGAGCCATGCAAAGGCGGCGGCAGATGCATCAACATCATCAGATACTCTTGCGGCAGCAGGCTTATGGGTTTCATGCAACACGTAGTGACAGCTCTTGGGGCTCCACACCCACGAGACTTTGCCCCAGCTTTTGCTTCGGCTGCTTCCACCACGATGACTCCAATATTCAGCCCAAATGGGGCAACGTGGTCGAGGACAGCCCTCCAGCTCAATTTGCTTCACCTCTTGTACAAGTGTCCCAAAGTGGTTGGCCTCACCTGTGGTAGCCCCGCATTCCTCCCACTTGAGACGGGCTTCACACCGGCGTCCTCCTTGCTATTCATGCACGACACGTCGGGCCTCCGAGTCTTGGAGCATCCTTCAATGAGTTGACCAAGGCATGCCTACTCCGCTCATATGCATTCTCGCGGTCCATCTCTATGAGAGACCCATCATTTGTGACTACTCAGAGAGCTCCCTCTGTCATGTCAGCCTCGTCCATATCCTCGACAGACATACTAGCAGCTTCACACAAAGACACCAAAATGACAGCTCGAGACCTGACCGCTTGCACACTTCTTCCCTACCACAGAGGGCGGTTAGTTCAGAGCTCAAGGTCGAGATGATGATGGTGCCCGTTCCAGCTTGCCCAACATTCTTGATTCTTCACCTTCTGACTACTCGTCACTGCTGCCCCCCACCGTCAAACCCCTAGGTTTTGGTGTTTGGCGCCAAAGGGGAGAGAGGGTGTTCAGTATGTAGTCTCGGGGGCTACCATTTAGGGGAGCTAGTTATCTAGTATTAGCCTATTATATACATTTAGAGTTCTATTTGTGTGATACACTATTACTTATGCATTCGTGTGTTTACTTTCATGCATACTATTATATATATGTGATAGTGCTATCTACATGATTGTGATATTTGACATGTGTGATTTCTACTTTGCATTATCTATATGTCATATCACTTGTGTTATGCTCATTTGCTTTTGCTTCCGCGTTTATACTTCGAAGCAAATGAGCTTTGTTACTTGTACTCATGCTTAATTCATATCCTTTGAGTATATTGTGTTGGCTTGGGTCATATAAGCTTGCCTAACTCTTTTGTTCTTAACGACAAAAGCTTATATGAACCAAGCCCGTCAAAAACCTCATTCCATAACATACTCGAGGTGGTATTGTCATCAATCACTAAAAAGGGGGAGATTGAAAGCATCTAGGCCCCTAAGTGGATTTCGGTGATTAATGTCAATACAAGATTACTATGACTAACGTGTGTTTTGCAGAGGCAATTAAGTTAGGTCATGGTAATGGAGATCGATTGGGCAATTGAGGTTGTCATGCCCCTACGATGGAAATCGTTTCGGTTTTCAAAGGATGAACGACAAGGTTAAGGATAACTAGTTCTAAGTGTCAATTGAAGTTGGAGAGACACTTAGAGTAGTTTAGGACTTTGTTTTTCCTTTGGCCGCATTTACTATGAAGGGGGGGTATGAATGGGTAGCTTGACCTAGTTGAGTCTAGTGAGTTAGGTGTGGTGCACACTTGTTAAAACTAGCTCTAGGTAGCTCCTATGAATGCCTAAGATCATTTGGAGCAAACTTCATTCACATATGATCGAGAGTTGGAAGTGAATGGAGGTCAAAAATCTTGACCGGACGGCGGCGGCTCACGGTCGCCGGACGGGGCAGGGAGGGTCCGGTCAGTTCATTTGATGAGGAGAACAAATCTGGAGGACGAGGACGCTGGAAGGTCGCAGTGTGACGGGGGACGACGGCAGATACTGTCCAGTCCGACTCCAAGTGTGGGACGTCTCCGACTTGAGAAGTGTGACCGGACCACGAGTATCCAGCGTCCGGTCGTTTACATAAGCATCCAAGAGCGACCGGACGACGTGTCCGTTCGATCGCCGACCGGACCTGTCGTCCGTCCGGTCATCACTTGAAACTATTGCGCAGGTTTGAACTGGCCGGGCGTCCGGTCAATACGATCGAGCGTCCGGTCATCCGTAGAAGCTCATAACGGTTCATTTTTCAGTGCGCTTTAAATAGAAGCTCCACTCGTGTGTGGAGTTACTTTTGCTCATTCCAACAAATTGAGAAACATGTTTGTGAGTGCCAAGAAGAGCAAGGTCCTAGTGAGGTGTTTGTGATTTGAGAATCCAAGAGTGAAACCTCATTAGTGAATCAAGAGTAGACAAGTGTGCATCCATCTTCTCATTAGGCTTCATGTGGTCAAGTGAGAGTTCGTGCTTGTTACTCTTGGTGATCGCCATCACCTAGATGGCTTGGTGGTGATTGAGAGCTTGGTGATCACCCGGCTGAGAGCTTGTGGGTGACCCAACTCAAGTTGTGAGCGGTTTTGGGTGATTCACGTGACGGGTGTCAAGAATCAACCCATAGAGAGCACTTGATCCTTGCGCGGATCAAGGGGGAGCTACACCTTCTTGCGGGTGCTCCAACGAGGACTAGTGGAGAGTGGCGACTCTCCGATACCTCGGCAAAACATCACCGCGTTCCTCTCTCCATTTACTTTGAGCATTTACTTTAAGTATTTACTTTGAGCAATTCAATACTCGTCTTTACATTCATAGAATTGCCATGCTAGAGTAAGTTTGGAACATAGGTTGCAAGTCTTTTGTGCGTTGATTTGATAGAAACACTTTGTCTAGGCACAAGGGGTTAATTGGGCTATCCGTAGGATTTGATTATTGCAAGAAAATTTAGAATTAGCCCAATTCACCCCCCTCTTGGGCATCTTGATCCTTTCATTCTCCATGCACATAATCACTATATGCATAGAGTTTATCTTGGAGATCATAGGAAATCAATTTCAGTTAGAGAATCATTTCTTAGAGAAACAACTTCCATAGAGAATTTGGAGCAGGAGGAGCTCTGCCAAACTGACTTAAGGCTCTCCTCGCGTCACTCCACGACAATCAAAGTGTATGCGTGGGCCATCTCCATAGGATATAGGCAAAAATGCAAATCAATTCCTATTATCATTGTTACATAGGGAGTGAAAAAAACACTCCCTATACTTTGCTCCTTATCCACCCCTCTCCACTACCCCTCTGCTCCTCTCCTTGATGCACTCCCGAGTCCAGGAAACCCTGTTGTCCCTCTCTGTCACCCCCTACTGCCCGGCCCCTTTAGGGACACATTGGAGCTCATGAGTCCCTCTTCATCCTCAGCCATGGTAAAGTCTCCTCTTCCTTCGCTATGGCAAGCCTTGGCTTCCCACACTGATGCAACATCTCGTTGCACACCCTCCTCGTCTTACCTGCCACAACGCGGACTCATGTGGCTCACACTCTTTGCCTTCCTTCTTCACTGCAACGGCCTCCCACAACTCTCCCTCCTCATTTTCCACCAAGATGGCAGTTCCCCATATCTCATCCTCCTCTTATGTTGTTGAGACCTCCGACACCATCAAGCATGAGCTAGAGTAGGTGGTGGAGCAAGTTGGGAAGCTCTACCAAACACTTGGGCCAGGAGTGGAGTGGAACTAGACGGGTGAAAGTTGTTAGGCGTCCTGCCAAACATGCTCTAATAATATATTTTGTTATGTGATGGTTCATCATGTTACAATACCAACAAGGATCAATTTGAGGCATTATTATAATTATCATTGATTTGGTTGATAATTCAGATTCATGCTTCAAAATATAATTTATTGTAGCTTTGTCCTAGCCAAACATTGAAACTCCTATATTTTAGAAAGATATATTAACATATATAGTTCAAATAACTATGAAGACACTATGGAGAATTTAAATGAACAGATTTGATATTGTAGATGATATTTTTCTATAAATTTATTAAAAGTTAGATAAATTTAGTTTGTCATATAAAACTATAATTTAGACTGGAGAGCGCTTGTCAAACGGTAAGGAACAAAAAGCTGGGCCGGGCCGGGCCTGGGCTGGAATTTTCAATGTCAACTCCCTAACCCCTTCGCTCATTTTCTCATTTCACTGTCTAGACGGGTTTTGACAACTGATCTACTCCCAACTGGCAACTGGGCTAATTTTCTCCATTTGTGGCTTCAGTGGCCTGCAAGGAGCGAACGGAGGCGGCCTCAGTGAAAAGCGCAGAGAATGAGGGGGATCCTCCTCGGGCGCCGGCGGCAGCCGCCGCCGCTCCCCCTCTTCCCCGCCGCCAAGCGCTCCTCCGCATCCGCGAACCACCTTTTCGCCCGCCTCTGCCGCTTCCTCCCGGCCAGCCCCATCCTCCGGCTCCTCCTCCTCCTCGCGCTCCTCGCCCTCGTCCCACCGGCCTTCTTCCACCTCCGTCTCCGCCGTTTCCACCGCGTACGCGCCCCCCAGCCGATCTTCAATAAGGAGCCTTTTACGCTCCTCCGAGATTTCACTTGTTCGATTTAATCGGTTTCTTCTCTGACACGTTTGTTAATCCTTTTTGGTTGCTGTGTTCCAGATGCGCGAGAGGAAGTGCGGGTGGGTCGTGAGCCCACCCATGGTGTGCGCGCACGGCGGTGACTCCACCAACGCCTTCCCCAACTCGGTCGGTGTGGGAGACTGATACGGTCTCAGTGAATTCGAATTTGTTCTATAACAAAGAGTTTTTTTTTCTCTCTCCATTTTGTTCGGCATGAGGTAAATGTGTTGATGAGTTGTTGGTTTTGTTGGGATCTCATGATTCAGATGGACGCATTTCGGATGGCTCTGGACGCCCGGGTCGACTGTGTGGAGGTGGATGTTTCAAGGTCCTCTGACGGTGTGCTGTTTGCTCTGCATGACAGGTAATTGAACTGCCATTTTGCTGGTGTGGTATAATGTATCACAAACATGTTGCTTCTGTAGAACGTCAACAGGCATCTAAATGGAAAACATCTGACAAAATTCCCATGATCACTATCTATCATGTGTGACTGTTTACCCACTGCAATTGCTATTTAGCTGATTATTAGTTGGATGGCACAACCATTTTTCGCGACACCCATTTACATAGTTTGTCTATTTACTGATACATGCTGTCATTTTTTAAATTGGCAATCTATTAAGTTTGGTTTATAATTATGAGAACACAGTTTTATCTTTCAATTACTGTGTTCAATACTGGACCGCTTCATGAATGATGCACACTTCAGTTTTTTTAAGGGGCTGCAGGAAGCATGTCATTACAGCCTTATTTAGTGTTCTTAGTTCTTACTACCTATATAAGGCTATAACTGTGGAGTGCATGGCTATGAGATGGTTTGGAATCAACTTTGTGGAATGCATGGATTTTTAAAATATTTTAGCTTGAGTAACATTCGTTAATGGTTTAGTACGATCAAGACATCCATTAGCACCAACCAGCAAAATGTGACTGAAAATGCGATCAAATTTGTGACAGCACATTTCTTAGAACAAATCAGCTAGTGCTTACTTTTCTTTCAAACAAACATACCTGGACCTAATTCACAATTGACACAGGCAGGGATCTACAAAAGATGTCTGGTAATTCTACAGCAAAAGTTGGCCACTGGACCACAGACGAGGTGATTCATTTACAGTTTCAATTTCGTTATCACTTGCTAAAATTACTGCATTTGGGCCGTTCTCTTCCTTTCTGTAACTCCTTTTCATTCTTTTTTAAGATGCACAGTAGGGGCCTTCCCTACTGTATTTCCCCTAAAAAAAACTGTAATTGACTAATTGGAGTTGGTGCACATGGTTTGAGATATCAGCAGTTGTTTTGTTGCTGTTATAGCTTCCTGTGTCATTTCATGACCATTTACTGATTCTGGAGCTGTGATGCTAATGCATTGTTCTTTTAGTTTTTTTGTAGATAAAAGCACTAAGTACAAGGTTTCAGTTGTCAAAAAGAGTCCAAAATGAGGAAGTTCCCAAGGCAGAAGATGCTCTGGCGGTAAGCATTAACCCAGCCAATTTAAGCTGTAGGAATTTTGATAGTTCTGATTGATAGTCTATGTAGTCATTTAAGCTTTAAATGACTTGTGTGGAACAGTGAAAGCTTTGCCATAAACATCTTATGCTTTTATTGGATAGTTCTGTAAATTTTATTGTTTGCATGCCTGAACTCTTTTCCCTCTTGCAGATGATATCACAATCAGTTAGGCAGGTCATTCTTGATGTGAAAGTTGGACCCCCTTCATTTGAGAAAGGTTTAGCTGAGGATGTATTGTCCCTTGTAAGTTCTGTGTATCTCCTTTCTCGTTTTGCCTAATGAGTAATGACGTGCTTTAAATAGAATGTGTTCTTTTATTTACCGTTCTTGTACCTCTTCGCTCTTCACATGTACCTACCATATCTGTATCATATCATCAAATTTCTAGATCTTAATTGAAATTACTGTGTGCTATGTACAGATCACTCATCATAATAAAGTGTTTATGGACAAATGCTCTGACTGTAGCTAGTAAAATTGTTAATTTTTACTTGATCACATTTTGCTTCAGGGAATGCATCCATGGCAAAGCTTCCTGTGGTCCCATCCAGTAGACATCTAGCTAAACTCCCCTAAATTTGTGTTTTTTTATCTCTTTCTGTGATTTCTCATTTGTTTTTATCTGGAAACTGGAATGTTGCAATTTTTTTTTCTCAAACAGCGCAGGAGAACTGCGCGTCATTTCATTAAGATAGAAAAATGTTAAACTGGTGTAAGAGACCCAACTTACACCCCACACCCTGACACTAAGTTACAGACTCGCCACGAAAACAGCAGAAACGACCAACATGTTGTAATTTTTGCAGCAATATATATTTTTAAAAACTTATCGTGATTTAATGTCTTTTTTTGTTCTTTGCAGCTTAGGAGAACAGATTGCAAGAATTGTCTTGTTTGGGCAAAAAGTGATGACCTAGGAAGAGATATAATTAAGTTGTCTAAAGATGTTATTGTACATTGTTCTCTCTTTTTCATTTCTTTATTTGAATGATCCATCTATTATCTGTGCCTACGAGGTTACGACCACTTCTACTACACAATTTAACAGGCGGCTCTTCTGTTATAGGTTGGCTATATTGTTATGGTGGATAAATCTACCAACAGAAGAACTGAGTTAGTGAGGATTGAAGGGGCTAAAGTTGCTGGCGTATATCATCCTTTGATCCATGAGAAGGTCATGAAGGTCATGCGCAGGTACATGCATGTGATAACCTACACTTAGAGCTCCTTTTGTTATGCCCTGTTTGCAATTTGCACTACATGTGAGCTTAAAATTGCTGAATTTTGAAACAGCCATGACAGGAGAGTTTTTGCATGGACTGTTGATGATAGCAGCTCCATGAAGAAGATGCTGTATGAGCATGTTGATGCCATTGTGACCAGTAACCCCTCTCTCCTGCAGCAGCTTATGCAGGAGATGAGAATTGAGTGCATGGAAGATGGTTTTGCCTTACCATAGGAATTTCTAGCTGTCAGAACATAAGAGTTTAACTTCTCAACAGAGAGGACCAATTAGTGAGTTGAGTTTGTCAAATTCTTCATAATTTAGATGATAATTAGTTTAGTTTTTGGCACATTCCACACTTGGGTCATATAATGAAATAGACTGTAAGAAAATATGGTTAGCTTGTCATGAAATATGTTGTTTCCTTTTACAGCTTGATCAGATTAGGTCATTGAGAAGATCGTGACAATAATATAATTAACGGAATCATGCTTTAGCCATTGATATTCAAGTTTGTTTCACCTTTTGACAATAATGTCATAATCCATTCCATGAACGACAGCACTAGCACCTGGACGTCTAGATAGACCCCCCACGTCTGGACGCCAGCGCCAGCGCCTAATGCACGCATAGGTGGGGCCCGCCCGTGTCACTCCACATGCTTCCTTGCTTTCCGCGCCCCTCCATGCTTGCTGCGCCGCTCCCCTCCATGCACGGCGCCGGGTGGTTCATATTGCAACATGCACAACATCTCTGATCTACTTTTAAAACATCCAAATAAAACAATTGCAATATACGTATGAAACAACTGAAACATTTGAAACATGCGTCTGAAATGCATGCAAAAACACATAAAAAACACTTAAAACAATTGCAAACATATGCAACATTCAGATAAAACACTTGCAACATATGTGTGAATATGCACACATCTAGATAAAAAACACTTGTAACATACATCTGAAAAAAACAGATGAAACATTAGGAACAAACACTTGCAACATACATGTACAATCATTGCAACATATGCAACATCCTGATCTACTTTTGCAACATCCGCATGAAACACTTGAAATATACCTACGAAACATCTAAAATCCTTGGAAAGGCGTTAAGGTGCCGCCGCCAACAGAATGTCCGGTTTTCACGGAGCGACGATTGAGGCGATCCTGAGTGCGAGTTCGACCCCGACTCCGATCTGGATCACCACCGCCGGTGATCTCGATCTACTGCGCCGCCGACCATTCCGGTCACGGCGTCCACGCCCCGCCACCAGCCTGCAGTTTGGTGTCGGACTCCGCATATCGCCGGTTAGCCGTTCCTGGCACCGTCGACCATAGACTTCCCCTAGGGTTTTGCCGCATAAGTACCTAGGCCGGGATCGGTTTGTGGCTGCGCTGTTGCGTGCAGTTCACTCAATTGTTTGCCCTCTGATCCGTTTGCATGGCATCGGCAAGAGGTGGCAGTTCGGAGGAAGGAGCCGATGCTCCAAACCCTAATGTGACTGACTTACTATGGAGGCTCAACCTCACCAAGGAAGAGGAGTCCGTGATGGAGTTCGATGACTTGGAGGATGAAGGGGAACCAGCGCCGGTGGAATGGGCGCTTGTAGGGAAGGTGCTTTCACCCTCGCCGGTGCACGTCAATATGGTGAGATTGGTGATGAAACCCGCTTGGGGTAATCCGGTTGGTCTAAAATTTAGGGCAATCGGGGAGAAGGGAGACAATCTTTTTGTGGTGGAGTTTGGAAGTGGTGGTGATCTAGAGAGGGTGCTTTTAGGCTCGCCCTGGATGGTTGGAAGGTATGCAGTGCTCCCGCAAAAATATGATGAAAAGCTCAGTGCATCGGAGATTGCTTTTGATCACCTTGAGCTTTGGGTACGCATCCTCAACTTACCGCTGGGCTGGATGAATCAGACAAGGGGCTATCGGGCCATGAGTTTGATTGGCCATGTCGTGAAAATGGATGTCGACGTGGATGGGAAGGCCAGTGGTGCATTTCTGCGTGCTCGGGTGGCTATCGAGATTGATAAGCCGCTGCGACGTGGGGTGCTTCTTTGGATGAGTAAGACGGAGGAACCACGTTGGTTTCACGCTCAGTACGAGAGGCTTCCCTTTTACTACTTTGCTTGTGGTAAGATTGGTCACTCAGAGTTGGAGTGCCCAACGCCCACGGCCCACGGGATGAGCAGGGCAAATTGCCTTATGATATACAACTACGAGCTCCTAAGGAGAGGAAGCGACGTGTGCAGTCGTTTGCTGGGGCTGTAGCGGAGTCTTTGGGGAGTGGGTCTGCTTCGACATTCCGCTCTCAGAAAACTCAATATAGTAAGTCTAGTGAAGCTCGATCCTCAATGGGTGATGGTTCCTGTCATTCTAAAAGCTACATGGGGGACTCGGAGGACCATGAGGTCATGTCTCTGAAATAGTAGGCGAGGACATCCCGACCAAGGAAGGGCTCTGGAGGTTCAGGGGCTAGTAGACAGCTGAATATGTCTGATGATGATGGTAAAAGACCACTCCCATGCAAGAGGAAATCCAAGATCTCTTCGGCTCAACAAACTCTTGACCTGAACATTCCTTTGGGCGAGTCAAATGTGATTGTCCCAGTGGGTCTGGTGAACTCCAGGGTGAGTTAGTTGGATACCGCTGGGGATAACAGTGGTGGTAGTATGACCGAGACACTCAAGAAGCAGAAGAGAAGCAACACCCAAAATGCAAGATCGGCGGTGGCTGCGAAAGGCAGCCCCTGCCGGGCACAATGAATCTCCTAAGCGTGAACTACCGGGGCTATGGGCGGCCGGAGGCAGTTCAAGAACTCCGCCTGTTGGTGGAGGAAAAGAGGTCCACGATGGTCTTTTTGATGGAGACAAGGATGGGGGAGGAGCGTACCCTTGGCTTGAAAAGAGACCTTGGTTTCGCTAATGCCATTGTCGTCAAGATCCGAGGGGCTCAGTGGGGGTCTGATGCTGCTTTGGCGTCAGGGTGTAATGGTGACTGAGTTGAGCAAGTCCAAATCACATGTTGATGTTCTCTTGTCATGTGACAGTCTGAGGACTTCACAGTGGAGGGTGACGGGCTTCTATGGGGAGCCTCACAGGGACCGTCGTAAGGAGAGCTGGTACCTAATGAGATTCTTGAGGGCGCAATCTGCTGCACCGTGGTTGTGCCTAGGAGATTTTAATGAGGTGCTTTTGGAGGAGGAGCAAATAGGTGGTAACAGCAGAGAATCATGGCAGATGGCAGCCTTCCAGGAGACTGTCAATGAGTGCTGGTTATCCGACTTGGGCTACCATGGCCTTCTGTACACGTGGGACAACCAGTAGGAGGAGAGCCAGAATGTTAAAGTTCGCCTGGACCGTGCCTTTGGGGATGACAAGTTCTTGGAAGCAATGGGAGAATTGGAAGTTTACCATATCCCATTGGTGGAGTCCGATCATTGTGGCCTCCGAGAAAGGGGGTCGTCTAGTCACCGCCGCGATCAGAGGAAACCTAAGCCGTTTCGTTATGAAAATATGTGGAAAATCCATGGGGAGTATATGGATTTTGTTAATCAAACTTGGGATCCAGGCTCAGGCAACCCTGACCTGTCTGCTGTGTCCACTACTCTTTTGTCTTTGCAAATCTCCTTGAAGAAATGGGACATGGAGATTTTTGGTTCGATCAAGCAACAAGTGAGGGACTTAAGAGCGGAGCTAGAGGTGGAGCGAAGCAATACCCTGTACCGTGGCCCAACGGACAAGGAACGAAGCGTGGTTGCTAAGCTAGCTGATGTGTTGGCCCGGGAAGAAACTATGGAGCGATAGAGATTGAGAATCTCGTGGCTCAGAGAGGGTGACCGAAACACGGAGTTTTTCCAAGCGAAAGCTCGTGCGTGAAATCGGACTAATAGAATAAAGCTACTGAAGGATGACTCGGGTCATGTGTTCACAGATCAGAAAAACCTTGAATGCTTGACTTGCGAGTTTTACCAACATCTGTTTACAGCACTGGAGGACCTTCAACCGGATTTGATCTGCTCTCATGTCCCACAGAAGATCATGGCCGAAATGGGAGATATGTTAGTGAGGCCCTGAACTGATATAGAGGTGGAAACAACTCTATTCCAAATGGCGTCGAGTAAGGCCCCAGGTGTTGATGGGTTCAATGCTGGTTTCTTCCAAACTCACTGGCAATTGGTCAAGGATTGTGTGTTGAGCACTGTGCTGGGTTTCCTGAATGGTGGAGACATGCCAGATGAAGTCAATAAGGCTCTTCTGGTTCTCATACCAAAGGTTAGTAATCCGCAAGAATTATCACAGTACCGACCAATATCATTGTGCAATGTTTTATACAAGCTGTGCTCAAAGACTAGCAAATCGATTACGTCCGATTCTTGATGAAATTATCTCGGAGGAACAAAGTGCCTTTGTGTCGGGGTGCTTGATTACCGATAATTTGCTGATCGCTTATGAATGTATCCATTATTTGAGGAACAAGAAAGGGAAGTCAGGAGGCTGTGCAATTAAGCTTGATATGGCCAAAGCATACGACATAGTTGAATGGAACTATCTGTTCGCAGTTATGCAGGCGACGGGCTTCTTGGATTCCTGGTGTTCTCTGATCATGAAATGTGTTTCTTCGGTATCTTTTTCTGTCCGGGTCAATGGAGTCTTCTCGGACAGTTTTAAACCAACGCGGGCCATTCGGCATGGTGATCCAATTTCGCCGTACCTGTTCCTGTTGTGTTTTGAGGGCCTTTCTTGTATGTTAAAGAGCATTGGCCCTCTGTATATTTCAAGAGGGGTGCGGGTGAGTAGGAATGCACCCTGGTTCTCTCACCTCCTGTTTGCGGATGACTGCCTCATCTTTACGCAGGCATCCAAGCGGGGGGGTGGAGCGTGTTGCTACCATTCTTGATGACTATAACAGAGGGTCAGGGCAATTGGTGAACAAACACAAGTCGGCAATATTTTTTAGTCCAAATTGCCTACAAGACTGCAAGGATGAAGTCCATACAAGTCTGCAAATTCCAAATGAAGCCCTGGGTGAACGGTATCTGGGTCTGCCCACTTCAACTGAGAGAGGGGCAGCTAACGCCTTCAACTATGTACCAGCTAGGGTCAGGGGCTTCGTTGGTGGTTGCGCTGAAAAGAACTTAAGTTGTGCGGCTCGGGTGGTGTTACCGAAAGCGAATGCACAATCGGTGCCAACCTACCTGATGTCTTGTTTCAAATTATCACCTGTGGTATGCT